CATTTGTACATTTGCAGCAGAAAGAGAGGGCTCCTTACTTAAAATGATTCTAGAATTGTACAGAATCTAACAATGCAGTTTGTCTTTCATGTGCCAAATTAAATCCTTTCTAAGGAAGACATCCTTTGAGAAAGCCGGTGGGGTAGGAATATCCACATTTCGGCATTTATTGGGTGAGGAAAATCAGCTCATGAAACAAATGCAACTGAAAATAGCATTGAAATGAGAGTTGGAAGTAAAAGGTATCGAGGTCATGTTCGTTGCAGAAAAACGGTGCCGTGTGTCCTGTGGATGAGCTGGGGACATACACTGGTGAATCATGTCCAGTAGCGTGGGAAAGTGGAGGGTGTCTGGGCTTTCTTATAAAGAAACTCGAATGACTACATTCAAGTAGGGATAATGAAACGATTTTTTAAAGTTGTTAAATGTGTTAGTGTTTTTAAAGGCCATACATATATATATGCGTTCACATAAAGTCATACAATAGGAAAGAATATACTGTGAAGAATAGTTCTCCCTTGCCCCTCAAGCCCCAAGTTCTCTGATAAATCATTGTTGGCAGTTTCTTGAGCATTTTTCAGAGATCCTCTCTAAATATACCAACATTATGTACAAAACTCTTATTAAACAAAATGATAACACACATGGCTCTGCGCCATTCTTCCTTCCCTTGAAATGTATCATAGAATTAATTTCACATCAGTACTTCCTTTATTTTATGGCTACCTGGCTAAAACATGCACCGTATGGACATAAAATACCTTATTTAACCAGTTGCCTTTGGTGACTTTTTAGATCCTTGTCAGTGTTTTGCTATTACAAATAGTACTGCAAGGAGGATCCCTGTCCGTCTGTTGTCAAATGTGGGAATATATGTATTCTCAGGTCTTCACAAAGTCCTGATTTATTGTTACTATGCAATAGTTAAGCCATGAGGAAGAAATAACCAATTAGCATAGTAGGCAGAGAATGCAAATAATTGCAAACATTATTTACTATGTGGTATGTTACAGTAGTCATTTAGTTCTTAGAACTATGAGGAAGTTATTGCTATTATTATTGCTCATCATTTGAGAAAGCGAGGCTCTGAATTGACCCCAAAAGCTTGTCTGTATCCCCGGTTCCTGACTGCTGGGCCGGGCTGCTTCCCAGTGATCCTATTGCTACCTCAGCAATGACAGAGCATTTATTAGATACCTACTATGTGCTGAGCAACTCACATGCATTATTTAATCTTTACAGTAGCATTACAAGCTGCTGTTGTTTTCTTACCAGCAGAGTCTTAAAGAGGTTTCATAACTTGCCCAAAGTGCCCGAGCTAGTAAGCGAGGGGACAGGAATGGCGTGGAAGCAGGATGTCAGACCCCAGAGACCCCAGCCTAATGCGAACGGGATTTAGGCATTTGAATTTACACCCAGCAGGCTGGGAGGCAGACATGAAATGAAGATACATATGAGACTTAATTAAACACACTCAAGTGATCGGAAGGATTAGGAAAGGCTGTAGCAAAGGCCAGTGGAAGACTGCTGGTGGCACCTCTATGAAAGCATCTGCAGCAGGGTGACACTTCCCCGTGGTACTCAGTGCTTTGTTCTTACTGATTGCTTCCACCTTTACGAAATTCCACACCTATGCGTTGTATTTACACATATAATAAACAACCCATTGTGATGTGTGGCACTGGGACGCATGCCCTGGAAAAAAGAGCAGCCTTAGGTGATTCTGCTCTGAGTTGGAATTGGTGCCCGCTAGGCGCCGAAATCAGCAGGTGCCTACATTAGAACAGAAAATGAAGGGCACTGAGATCCCTGAGGTGTCAGTTCCTCCAGGTCAACTTCTCCTGCCTCAGCTTCAGTCTCTAGCAGTCCTTGTTTACGGGCTTGTCATAAGGTGCCATAGAGGAGTCAAAACCAGAGCTCTCTTTATAAGACCTAAAAGTCTTATAAAATTATAAAGGACTATCAGCCTTATGCAAGGTATAACTTGTAACTGAAGTCACATGTATCTGTTGATTATTTTTGTTTTATTTTATAAGTCCGTTTTATTATCTAGGCCCTATTTCTGTGCCTAATACTGAGTTTTCCTTGTTTCAGATTGGCTCATTTGATTCAGTGACTTTTGGGTAACGTTTCATAGAAAAAGTAAAAGATGTAGTTAGTATAGACAGACATGTCAGAACTATTTATTTGGTCATTATAGTAAAGGTGATAACTAAGGTACATAATGAGTATTTACTGCAGGTCAGGAAACATGCAAAAGGTTTTATATGCATTATCAGGTTTAATACCAAAACCCTCTTAGGAGGATAGTATTATTGTTGTTCTCATTTGACAGATGAGGGTCTTTTATTCCTAAGCTTTTGAAATTAATAATTATAATAATTATTAGCATATTATATATGCTAATATATATTATACCATATAATTAAAATAATATATATTTACATTTATAATTTAATATTAATTATAATTTAATATTAATTATTAAATTAATAAAAATAATTAAAAGCATACCTTAACAGTCTGCTTTTGTAAAGGAATACTTTCTAATCTCATAGCACGTATTTTCTATTTTGGCATTTCTCCTTCCAAACTTTGTTCAAATGTACTGAGTCAGTAACCAATATATCTACACTTCTGTATTCTGCTTTTTTCATTCAGTATAGTCATAAGAAGTTGGTTTCCTGAGTCATCCTCATCATAACATAATGACTGCATGTGAATAATTGCTATAATTTATTTAATAATTTCCCTCACTGGGGATATATTAGGTTGTTTCCATTTTCTCTTTAGATGCTCCTGCAATGAAAACTTTTGTGTAAGTAATATATTCTCTTTGAATTTCCTAGGAAAAGTCCTTTTGTTGAAGAGTAAAGAGCTTTTTTAACTCATTCTGCGTTAGAATTATTTTCATAATTAGCAAATAGTGAGCGTTATTGAAACACTTGTTTGGTCATCATAGAGGTCTATTTTGAACTCTTCTCATTTTTAGGTATGAACTATTTTTGAATATTTTAAAGGTGTAATTTGAATGATTATATGGTAACTGATATATAGTAATTAGCATAGTCCTAAGAGTGATTTTTATTACATGATTTAATTTCAAAAGCATGTGAATTCGGCTTTAGGGCAACTGGTACATGCAACAAAAGTATCATTCTTCATCAACATGTATTTTTTGAGAACCTACTATGTGCTCTGCCCCATGGTTGTCACCAAGTTTATGATGATGAATGTGGAAACAAATGAAATGGACACAGCTCATTGCCCAACAGGGCATTACTAAGTCACAGCTGAGGTTTTCTGTACCATTGCACCACGTTGCACCACAGCACACTGTTTCCTCAAACATTTCTAACTTCTTTCTTCTTTCGCTTTTATGGAATCTGGTTCATTTCTTACTATCAGCCCAAAACATTAAGGATAAAGAATATCTTATTTTGAGTAAGCCACATGTGTATATATAATTTCTAAGAATTCCTGAAACCATGTTTTTCCCCTCCTGTCTCTGGGCTGGTGGGATTTAAGAAACCCTTTTATCTTCTCAGGATGAAAGTATGTTGCTCTGTAGTTTTGGGAATCCCTAAATCAGCTTAACCCTATTGCATATATCTTGCATTGCATCTAAACACATTTATGTTTTTTAGCACTTTCGGCTAAATAAACCAAGTGCAGGGACTTTGGACCCTCCATTACAGGAACATCCTCATGTGAGAATAAAATGTAAATTTAGGGTATATACCATGATTTATTACTACACTGCAGTGTTCACAGGTAGAGATAACTATTTTGGTCTCTTTAGGGTACCAAATATTTAGGAAGTTCAAAATTTCATTTTAACTTTCCCCTAAATTGTTCTATCCCAGAAAGACCTACTCATTTGTTGATGGATATAACTTTATTATCATGTTGTATATTACTCGTTTTTAAACTCTGCAGTGCACAATTTTTACTTCACTGGTGCTTAAACATTTCAATGGAGAAAAATGTCAGTAAATAATATATTGGTTGAATGCCTTTATTTGCAGATCAAGTTTTTTACTGATTAACTGAATGTTTTGGAAATATATAATTTTACAGGAATATTATGCATGTTACCTAATATGGATTTAAATTTCAGTAAATTCATTATGTGTATGTGTGTATGTCTACCTATTGATCGATTGACACACTCCTATTTGATTTCAATGGACGTTTTTTTTTTAAGGGAAACTTTGTTTTAGGATGTAAAGACAGATGTCTGTCTCTCAATACAAAGTTGTATGAACGATCCTTAACTGAGATGCCCAAATTAGTTTCTCATATTATTCTGTATAAATGTGATTTGAATTTTATGTGCGGTTACATTCCAGATATTGGAATTTATAGAGTACTGTTCTTGGTGAGAAAGGGAGAGGTGGAGACAACTTAATAATGTCAGAATACCACGTCCGTGGGTTGATGTAAGACTACTTAGGCACAAAGCTTGTTCCTCTGGGTAACAGTCTGCCTGTAGACATTACCAAGGGAGCACAGAGGTGGAAAAGAAAATGCAAAGGCATCTGAAAAAGGAACTCTGATAGATTTTTTTTAAGTCTCCTTAAATTTTTAATATCCCATAACCTTAACACTGGGATTGAAGCCCTCGCTATTACAACTTTGCACAGACCCTACTGCTTGAACTCAGACCCTAGGAGCTACACGTCTGAGAGCTGAATGTATTCTTGGTCCCAAATCAATCTTGTCACTGCTTGGAAAGCAATGCAAGATAATAAGTAGTATTCACCTGATTGCTTTCCTGCTCGGAGACAGCTGGTGACGCGTGTCTTCCTGATAACCAGGAGTTTCAGATCTAAGGCAGGGATAAAGGGAAGCTGAGAGCTCGAAGAATCTAAATTTGACAGTCGATGGCTGAGGAGAGGGTCAAAAGGAAGAGAATCTGTGACACGTATAAGAAAGGAACAAAATTTATCTGCTCTGGTTGCAATGATTAGATGTCTTTTTGTCTGGCTTTCTTGCAGCGGTTGACTGATTGTACCCACCAGCTGGCTAATATCATAATTAACAAAGTTGGTACTACATTCGCAAAGTTTAATCAAAAAATTTGCCAATGATATGATGGCATTGTCACAAAGATCACAAGGGACATGGAATCGACTTTTGCTCAAGAAGGAACGGCAAAACTGTATAGACAAGATGAGAAATCGTGAACTTGTTCAGCCAAAGGTATGTTTCTTTCATAATTCCACATCCTGGGTTTTCTTATTAAGTTTTTTGTGTGATGGTTGGTGGGTTCTTTTTTGTTTCGCGAACAAAATGATTTATAGAAAAGATCTGTATGTGTCTTGAACATTTACAGCCTATTTTCTGAAAGCTTTGGGATTTTTCCAAATTTGGAAATTCAGAAATATAATGGAATAGCTTTCGATACTGAGATGGAATATAAAGCAATGTTTTGCCTGTTGTGTCTAGCTAATCTTTATCAGGTTTCAGAATAACTATTTGGTAACAAATGTCAGTTGAACACTTGTATTGTGTAGCTTTGGATTTATTTTACTCAACAATGTAAAAGCCATTGCTCTGCTTTATTCTATTGTGTCAACCCAGTTACAGGAGTGAAAAACAGCAAGCATAGTTATAGAAGAGGTAGAGGTTCTATTTTAGTTTCAAGAAATGCTCAAAGCAGGGAAAAGGATGGCTGAAGTCTCGATTTTAATTAAACAATGTAATTGGGGCTTTTTACAACATTTAAGGAGACCAGTATTTCTTGAAATTGTGTGCTATTCCCCAGTGCCATTCTGGCCAGTGACTGTTATACCTGTATTTTCTTTTCAATGTGATTTGCTTTGCTTGATTGAATATTCAAGCTCCGGGGAGTTTCCCAAATTATAGTCATCACATATTGCTAATGAATGAATGTGAATATTGATGGGGAAGGGTAAAACATGTGCCTCTGTGTATATGCCTGTGCACTTCCTCTGAGTACAGAGAGAAGAAGGCATCTCAAAAAATATGCAGAAGGCAAAGTTTGGGTTATTTATGCTGTGTCACACCAGTGCTATAATACCAAGACAATCAATTTTCTGTATAATTGGAGGCATACTTTAAGGTTCTTTTATTTTCCCTACATGGTCATCCAGGACACTGTATCATAGAAAAAAAAAACAAACTTAACAAACAGTAATTTGTTTCCTGCCTATTGCTGTTTGTCTTTTGTGTTAATTAATAGCAGTTTTTAAATATCATGAAATAACATTTTGGAAACAAATTAATTCACAGCATGTATATTTTTAATAAGGCCATTTAAGCTTTCTTGTGGTTTTATTCCTAACCATGGGAGACTAGATATTCTGAGTATACTCATTTTTAAATTTGACAATCAAATTTCCTATTCTCAAATTTTAAAAAGATGAATCATTTTTATGGGATTATGAATTTTATTTTATTTTTTTATTAGTTTCAGGTGTACAAAACAATGTAATAGTTAGAAATGTACACCCTTCACAAAGTGATAACCCCCTCCCCCAATCTGTTACCCCTCTGCCATAGCATATAGCTGTTATTTTAAAGCCTTTAAGTATCCAGATAATTTTTTTTTAATTGCTTATTAAAATTTTGCTTAAAATTTTGCTTACATTTCTTTAATCTTCTCTACAATTTAATGACAATGATAAGACAAGCTGAAAGTGAAGGTTTAAATCATTATTTTATTATATTCTGGACATCATTTTCAGAAGAGAATTTCATTCTCACAATAGAGACTTTTATATGCTTTGACTTTGCCTCTCTCCCCTCCTAGTATCTGGCACATAATAGGCACTCAGTGTATATTTATCGAGTGAATGAATTAATGAATTGAAGCCTTTCTACGGCTATTCAAATATGGTTAACATTTGCTTCCTCTGAATCAATAATAACTTTTGTACGCAGTAAACATTATGGACAGAAACAAGTAGATGAATGGCATAATCACGGACAATAGGGAAGATTAAGTTTCTAAAATAATATAATGTTGTTTTAACCTAAACCTCCATAATATTTTGTGTAATTGAGATTTGCTATTGTAAGAACTCAGTTGGAGTAGCAAGGGTCTATGAGGATTAGAAGGGGTTAGTAAAGTGGTTCACAGCTGATGCACCCGTTCTTTTAAACAGGATTATCTCCTGAGATGTGTAGAAATGAACTCTTGTCAGAGTTTCAAAGGAATTAATATTTTTTGGTAAAATGTGCTAATGTAAAGAGTTAGAAGATTAGTGGTGCATAATGAAAGCAATGCATTCTTTCGCATGGAAATAGGAATGTAATAAATGTCCTGCAAGTGATTGGGGCTGTAGCAATTTTATTGAAGATTAAAGTTTGATTGACCTTTGTTAGGGTGATTAACCCTTCTGAAATTAAAAGCCAGAGCTGAATTATTCTGGCCAATTTAAATGCAAACATGGAGCAGGTCGTATGTCATTCAAATAATAATAATAAAAAACCCTCCTATTTTAATTTCCATTTTTGCACATCTGAATGGGATGCTGCTTTGGAAAGATCATAGCTCTGGCAAGAGCATCTCGGTGGCAGAGAATATAGAATAATGTACAGATAATTGGGAGCATGTGGGAAGAGTCCCAGGCATCACTCCCTCCCCCCATTTAAAACATCAAAACCACTACCCCAACAAAAGCAGGGAGCCTGAAGGCAGTCTCCACACACCGAAAATGCGCGATCTCAATAGAAAATAATCTAGGACTCTCCTGAAAAAGGTTAGAATAAATAACATTCTAATCCAATGCCAACCACCAAAGCTGCACATTATATTCATGTTTAATCTATATGCTGTCTCCTAAAAACGGTGTGTGGGGGGGAGCGGAGGGGGAAGGACGGAGAGCTGCTTTATATGATTGCTTATGAAGCTGTTCGTAAAAGTTGATTATTTCTGATGGCTGGTATTTCATTCTCCGTGATCTCTGATAGTCTATGGATATATTCAGTATTTCCATAAAGTTAAAAAATGTCATAGGAGGAGCAAACTCTAGTTATTTACAAAGCCATTTAATAGTTTCATTTTATTTTTCTTCATTAAATTTTCTTGAAGTCTTTGAAAAGCTGCATATTCACATCGCTTCAAAGAAAACAGTTTCTATTTTTCATATCATATTACATTTTTTTATTACTAAGCCGGTGAATATTTTTAGATTTAGGTCCCACCACAGAGTGAACACAGCTTCCTTTTATGTGTCTGCGGGCTATTAAAATGATAATAAAGGTTTTCTTCGTTCCATGTGTAATTTATTTCTCTCTCTTTTCATCAAAGAATCCACGCTGAATGTGTCAAGGTAGAAAAGTCGAAGGTATTACAGTATAAAAATTAAGAAGCCCGAGGTACTAGAGTTTATTTTTGCACAAGCTTTTCATGTGCTCCTTTAACATTCTTCTGAAAGATAGGTTTCTACTCCAGACCTATGAAGAAAGTCAAAGATGAAAAACTTTTGATAGAGTGACAGATTATTCAGCTAGCAAAGTGACTGTGGCATCATCCAGAGAGCTGAATAATAGTTTACAGCATTGATTAATAATGTTTAACTAAGATCTGTTTGCTATAAGGATATTTTCCTAATTTTTAATTGTGGGGCTAGTATTTAACTACAAAATATAAACAAATATATTTTTCTGCACCTTGCCTGATAAGGTACAAATTACCAGCTTTAGCTGTGGTACTTGGAATTGTCAAACTTTAAAAAAAATTCCAGTTGTTCCCCTGATAATACTTGTTTTCTTATTAAAGATCATTTTCTCTCAAAAATCAACACTGCCGCTAAATTAAATCCCTAAAATAAGCACTATTAATTCTTCAGGTATAATTCAATAATCTTCTGTAATTTGATTTACCTCTTACCAGAAAGAAATGAAAGTAATTTTGGCATTAAAATTTAATGTAAATACAACATTCCCTAAGCATAAAAAGCTAATGTGCCAAACTACTGATAACCTCCTTTCCTATATTGCCATTAATTATCAGCAATCTTTTCCATACAGAAAATCTTGGCTCAATAAAGGGAAATTCATATTGTCTTAGTTTAGAAAAAAAAAAAAAGAATTGGTGAAACAACAAAGGCAAATAAGATTCTATTTTTTTAAATCCCAAATCCAATCATTTGTTTTGCTTCAGTGTGCTTAGAAGACATTTTTATTTCTTTGTTGCCTTTGTTTTTGGCAATCTGTCCTCTAATCCATCCAGTCCCAGACCTGACATTGTCTCTTACAGTTGTGAAATAACATTATTTGCCTTTAACAAGCCCAATTTAATCTGTTTGGTATTTTTATGGACCACACAGTTTAGTTGGAGTCATTCTGTTTAAAAAAGCAGGCTGCTTAAAAAGTGACCAGTGGCATTACTTTATTCATTACAAATTGTTTGTGAGTCAACAATTGAATTTAATTCACTAAATTTTAGAGTAGGCCTACCATGAGCTGGGCTAACGAGAGATAAAACTGGCAAATTCAAGGATTTTCAGGACTTTAAAAATCGTAAATAATCAAAAAGTGGTCACCTATGAATTTCTCAAGATATTATTCTCCTTAACAGATAATAATCCTAGAATAAATTGTTTGGTTAATATCAGTCAAATTAATTTGTCATTTTTTGTAATGACAATTACAAATTGTAATATTTCTTGTCATTTGTTTGACAAATAATAAAAATACTCTAGAGACAATAAATGCTCTGATGTTATCTTTCCAGTAAATTGTGAAGATCAGTTCCCTAGCATTAGTTTTCAAATGAATTGGAAGCTACCTAATAATGTAATGTAGTGATGTGTGGCCTATTGATACATTCCATGCTAAGTGTATTAAAATTATCACATCACCTCTACATATTACTTTGGAATCTGGAGAACTGCTTTATAAGATAACTTTGACTTAAAGGCCTTCAGCATTAGTCTTTCTGGAGCCATTTTGCTGACTGACCTTTGTTCCGTTTCAATTGGTATTTATTGAGCACCTTCTATGTTCCAGATACTCCTTCCAATCCAGTGAGGTCGTTCTGTGAGCCATGTCTTATGGGTCAGAAACGGAGACTCAGGGTGTAGAGTGATTTGCCAGAAGTCAGACAGTTAGTCAGTGGCCCAGCCTGGGTTGGAGGCTGGTACCATATTTCAAGACCTTCTTTATCAGAGACATCATTGCGATATCCATAGCATTCCACTTTGCTAAAACTCGGTGACTATG